CTGTCCCCCCACATACCCAGTACAGTACACCTAAGGCCTGACATTTGATATCTACAATGACATTGTTTCAAGCCTGTCAGAGATAAGAGAAATATGACAAGGGGTGAACATTTGGTTCAAAGTTAGCCTGGGGATCCCCACCATTGGATTTTCTAGCCAACTGCATTATAGAATCTTTGGCTCAGGCAGGCCAGCCTTCCAACAGAACTATGAAATTAAATCATACTCCCACTAGGTAAGACAAATTTTCCCAATAACTAAAGTTTTATTTTTAATTTTAATTTTAATTTTAATTTTAATTTTTATTTTTGAGACAGGGTCTCATTACGTAGCTCTGGCTGGCCTGGAACTCACTGTGTAGAACAGTTTTTGGCTTTAAACTCATAGAAGCCTCTGCCTCCTGAGGGCTGGGATTAATTATTGGAGTGCTGTGCCTCCAATAACTGAAATTTTAAGGAGTCAAACCTCAGAATCAGGACTAGAGTACCCTGTCTCATAATAAGGCTTGTGGAAATCCAGTTCTTTAGACTCTCAAGGCCACTGATCTCCCATGTTAGTTAATTCATATACATGGCAAAAAGAGAATTTTCTTAGACTCTAGGATATCAGGACCAAAAGAAGATTTTTTGTTATGGCAGGGATGGGGAGTGGGATATTTTATTTCTTCATAAAAAGAATGGGAGGCCTGGGTGTGGCTTTATGCGTGACAGAAACTCTATTGAATAACACAGTCCCTGTGTTTGTGCCCTGTTCCAATCTGCCAGCCAGTTTTCAATCAGGGGTATCTTAAGTTAGGAATACTGACATTAACAATATTAACAGTTACCTTGTTGACACTGTGATGCAGCAGCCTCCTTTTGTACTTTTTTGCCAGGTGGTTATGAGATGTACCCTCAGTAAGGACATTAACTAAGGAAACCTTGTTAATTTCAGTATCCCTAACTTTATAGCTGCCTGTTTACTCCAGATAGGGCACCAGTGACAGAAATACTTTTACCCAAGTCTACCCCTGTGAACCAATGAGTTTCTTGGGGTCCTTTCCAGGAACATGGGTGGCTCAAAATGCAGGTGCAGCACAGAGAATCCCACCCCAGCATGAGTGGTGACTCACAAAAGCTGTGTCCGCAGGTGTTCCTTTCTCAATGTGCAGGCAGCAACCCCTAACAGATAACCTCTTCACCCTGGCAAGTGTTTACATCTTTTCCAACCTTTGGGAGGGCCCCAGCAAACCTTAAAGCTTTCAGAGCTTCCTAAAACTTGTTTGATTTAGTTCTGAGTTGTAGGCTCCTCCATCTTCCCTATAGGAAGTAATGTTCAGCTCTGAGGAAATAGCTACATAACAACAAAAGGTGCCATTTCCCTCTTACATTTGCCACTGTTTTCTAGAATAACAGAAACAATCAGAGATACTTATTAACTTATTTATTATTGTTATACATTTACTATATATATTTATTTTGTTCTTTACATAGTTATGATTTGCTTTTTCTTTGATCAAGAAAATCCCAAGTCTATGTTCACATTCTTTCTCTAAAAGTTATTTCTTGTCAGTCTGATTTGACATTTTCTCAATTCCATATTGGCCATCCTAGAACTTTGACCTGCATGGTATAATTAAGAGTCAAGTTTATAAAACTTACATTTGTATCAGCTGGGGGTTTATCCAAAGAAATTCTGGCAAATACATTAAATGAACAATGATATAGCCATAAAAGCAAGGTTGTGGATGTATGTGTGTCAAAGGGCAATGAAAGACATACATTATTGCAAGAAGAAAAGTAAGTTTGTGGTTCGTGGCATAAAGTAGTATATTCTTTTTATAAGAATTGACAAGATTTTTAAAGTTCATGAAAAATAATTGGATGGGGGCTCACTCGGTAAAGTGCTTGCTGCAAAAGCAGGAGGACCTGAGATACATATCACTCATAGTAAATGCTAGGTATGCCAGCACTTGTCTATAACCCTAGCCCTGGATGGGTGGGGATGGACACATGCCAGTGTTGGCTGAAATGGCTAGCTCCAAGTTCAGTGAGAAATGCTATCTAAAAATAATAAGATAGGCAGCAGTTAAAGGAAAACCCTTGATGTCTTACTCTGAATTACTAATTCACTCAAGTTAATTTTAGAAAAACAGTAAATGTGATTCATTTCCAAAAATATCTAAATACTCAATATTTGGCAAAACAAATAGTTATTTCCTTTCTATGTATAATTATGAATATTTAAATAATGAAGG